TCAAGATTAAAATTCACACGGAGCCAAAGACTTCATTTTATATATTGAAACTGAGTCTTTGAAATTGAGTCAAAGGCCCAATTTCATATTTCTTTGTAGCTCCAGGGGTTTAAATATCTTAACTTCCCAGGACAGATGATATGAAAGGCTCTCAATAAGTATTGATGGGTTGATTAAATGAATGAATGAACGAATGAATGAATGAATTCTGTTATTTCCCTATGCTTTATAAGCACAAATTACCTCTTTCTTGGAGACAACAAAGTAAGATGTTGCAGTTTTTGAGGTCAGACAGCCCGGTGAATCCTAGTTTTGTCATTTACTGGCAGATGACTTTAATCTCTGAATTCTTTCTCATCTGAATGAAGAGGATTATAATCTTCATCTCAAAGCCCATTAGTAATGTTGGGAGGGCTAATATTCAGAGGAGCTCAGTAGATGCTAGTTTCCATTCTCGCGATGTCTTCTCCTCCTGCATTTTCTGAATTGCCTGGGGCCTAATGCTTTATGGTACAGAGCCAAGGTTAGTACTGCAGGATCCTTTACTCTTTCTGACCAGGAGTCACTAGATCCCTCAAGATTGCAGGTTCTGAAAGTCAACTGTTTTCATTTGAATACCAGTCCCATCTTTAAAGTTGTGTGACCTTCGGTAAGTTTCTTCACTCCTCTCAACATGTTTCCAGGTGTGAAAGATAGGGATAATACCTATACTTACTTTGAAGGGATTTGGGGAACACATATAGAATTTAGAATAATAATGCCTTGTTTTAGAGCTGTTTGATAAGTGTACATATTATGTTATGTGTATATAAAGTTCTAAGGAACCAAAGTTTCTCTCCCTCTCTCTCTCTTCTCTCTCTCTCTCACTCATACCTTACAATCATCTTGCTTGACTCCCCAGGCATACTCTGGAATTAAGGCTGATGCTGGTTTGCTCTCACAGCTCTGTGATACCCTGACCCCATTTCCCCAGACCCCAGAGAGTTGGGGACATTAGGAGCAGCCCAGGGGGTTGGAAGTGCGGCCACTTAGGCCCCTCTGCAGAACCCTGGGTCTTAGGAGAACAGTGAGGCCCAAATGTCCTCGGAAGCTGCTCCAGCAACACACTCTGCTCCCATTGAAAGAACTCTGCAGTTTGGGTGGAGGTTGTGGGGCACTCAGGAGACTTTTAAGCTTGATGACAGCACCCAAAACCACACCTCTTCCATTTTCTATGTTTCTTTTCAGGCAAATGGGTACATGAGGGCACATTAAGATTTATTAAGTAAGAGGCAGAAATGCTTGCAAATTTTACTGCTCCTCTCAGGTCTATCAATAGTTCCCCTCAATCCCCCTTCCCAAGGTTATAAAACCTGGAGGGAGGTGACCCTGAGCTCCAGAGTTGAGGGTGGGTCTGCTCCCAGCCTGAAGCTGAAACCCAGAAGAAGCCAGGGCAGCCCCTCCCCTGCTCCATCCTCCAGGCAAGGGAAGCGAAGTGGGGAACCCAAAGAGCCAAAACTGCCAAGATACCAGAAAGCCTGGGCCCTCAACTTGTATGTATTATAATAAGGAGAGAAGGACGCTCTTAGGGAGACTGGAGAGGCACGGGGACTCAGGAGGAGCCTTTGGAGGCTCTGCAGCCAAATCTCTTCATTACATGAAGGCATGCGGCATGTGGAATTGGATGATGGGCAATGAGTCAGAAGGCTGGGTCCTGATGCAGGCTCTGCCTCTTACCAGGCAAGTGGCCCTGAGCAAGTGACATAATCTCTCTCAGCCTCAGTTTCCTCATCTCTCATGAGGATAATGGGATATCTGGATAACCGGATGAGACAATTAATGTAAAGCAAATAACACTCTACTGAGAAACCATGACAAATCACCCCTTGAAATGTGAGTTGAGCACACATCCCAAAGGATTTGGAGCATGAAGCCACATGTGATTAATAACAATAGTCATATTGATCACCCCTTGTGTGTTTGTCTGGGTGACAGGTGTCTTCAGGGAGCCAAAGGAAACCCTCAAGGATGTCACAGACATGAGACAGGCTAGCAAGTTCTCCAGTAGTCAGCATCTGAGGTGTCTACCTATCATTGCACCATGGGCCTCCTCCTCTGTCTGTGCCCAGTACCAGGTCGCCCTGATGTTGCCCAGGGAGCATCATGAACCCGGAGTCAGCAGACCCTGGACCTAGACCTAGGAGAATCATAGGGTGACTTGCAGCCTAGTAGCAGGACAAAGAGCACATGCTGCACTTTAATGAGAAAACGTATAAGGATCCAAAAACATACCTGTACAAACAAAAAAACAAGACCTGTGGTTGAAGCTTAACATCTCAGATAAAAGTCCTGGTGGACAGTGATTTCTTTTATGATCCTCAACTAAATTAGGGTGTGTGTGTGTGTGTGTGTGTGTGTTGTGTGTGTTTTAATACGTCACACCAGTTAAATTTTCATTTGTGGGTCACATTAACAGAACCACATTCCATTTCGAGTACTCAAGGGATCTGTAATAGATCACTGATGCACTCTTTCTGAAAAACTTACATGGACATGCACTCTGCCCAACCAAGAACTCAAAATGGCATAAAAGGCTGCTAATGAGCACTAAAATCAACTAAAACTCAGGCAAGATTAAACCATTTCTGTAAGCTTAGTTATAAAGACCATAGTCAAACTTATTTTGGAAGAGTCGATATTTAAGTAAATAGCGACAACAATAACTCTATACCAATACTTTAAAATAAACTATTTGAGTCTGCTAGCAAACACTACAAAGTGGAAAATTAAAATGGGAGGATGTTAAAAAAGAAAGTAGAAGAATGCTAAAAATCCTAACTCAAACAGGAAGAGTTAAATTTAAAACACGGAATATAAATAAATGTTTAAACAAATAAAGAAAAATACAAAATCATTAGAAGAGTTGATAAAAAGCAAGACCAAGGAAAAAATAAGAATATGTAAAAATAAATTATAAGTCAAGATGACAGAAAAATGAATTTAACAGTTATTATTTTAGGTATAAATGTGTCTTTAAAATATATAAAAACACATATTTTTTTCATTTAATCAGAATCAAAATTTAAACTAAGAGGCATCAACATGATAAAGATGGATTATCTGTTTAAGCATGGGGCCTTGTGTACATAATGCAGTGTACAGATGCTGTTTTATTGAGTTATGCATTTGGAACCAATATGGTTTTGAGAACTAATATCACCCCCAATAAATTCAATTTAAAAACATAAAAATAATAATGTATTTCAAAAAATTAATTTAAAAATAAAACCGAAGTCACAATATTACTATCTGACTAAACATTAACTGATATAGAAAGCCTGCTTTCTAATAACAATGCAGCACACAAAGAGAAAAAAAGAAAAAGACACAAGGAAAAATGACCACAAAGTTAACCCAGTACTCATCTCCCAGTTCTTAAGTTACATGTGAGTCTTAACTTCCATCCAGACAAAGACATCCCTGAATCCCAGTAAGGTGGCCAATCCCAGTGTTGCTTAGAACACTTCCTGAGAATGAACCCTCCTGCTTCTGTTTCCTCATTCAGCAAGTGCCGTGAGAACTCTCCCTTCTCCACTTCGCTGAGTGCCAGGTATTGAAAAAGGGCTCCATAAACATAAATGATTTGAAAAGTTTACCTAATTGGCTTCTTTTTCTTTTCAAAAGATGCTGGAGTCTCTTCAAGAACCATTTTGCTGTCATAGGCTAATGGGTATCTTTTTGGTAATGATTTATCCAGGTAAAGTGCTCATTATATAAATATACCCTAATATATCATTCATGTAACCCCCTCCCCCTTCTCCATGAATATGTGCACTCATGCCAGAAGCTCAGAGGCCAAGGAAACTTGTTACAGAAAACAGTAGCTAACCCAACTGGTTTAGCTGGTTCTTCTGATGCATACTAGATACATCCACTGAGCTGTTATTTCCATTGTCCTGGTCCAGCTCCTTCAGGTTGTGTGTGAGTGGCCAGACACTTGGAGGAGAGAAGGAAATAAAAACCATTAATTATTGACTAGCCTCTGGATTCATTCACTGGTTCAACAAAAGTTGATTGAACAGGGTGCCAGGCACGGGCCCGGCCCCTGAGGTTACAGCTGAGTGAGACAAACTTTTGGCATGAGCAACCTATTGGAGGAATGGGCTCCATAGCAAGTAGCAAAAGGCAAATAAACAACATAATTACACACTGTAACACACTCCAGTAAGGAATGAAACAAGCTCTGTGGTACATTATAGAGGAAAGAGGGACGTATTTAGGAGGGGCAGGAGGGATTTCTCTAAGGAGGTGACATTTAAGTGAATGCATGAACTATAGGGTGAGAGGAAATTGGTCGTGCAAAGGGCCAGGAGAGGAGCATTCTCAGCAAAGACAAAAGCAGGAACAAAGGCCTTAAGGTGGAAAAGAACTCAGCGCATTCAAAAAACATAAAGGAGTTCTGTGTGGCTATAGAAGTGAGCAAGAAAACTGGTAGGAGCTTGGCTGTTTTGGCTCAGTGGAGAGAGCATCAGCCTACAGATCAAAGGTCCCCAGGTTTGATTCTGATCAAGGGCACATACCTCAGTTGCATATTCCTCCCTGGCCTAAGCCCTGGTCAGGGCTCATGCAGGAGGCAACCAATCAATGTGTTTCTCTCACATCAATGTTTCTCTCTGTCTTTCACTCTCTCTTCCACTCTTTCTGGAAATCAATGGGAAAATGTCCTCAGGTGAGGATTAAAAACAACAACAACAACAATAGGGTGGGAAATAAAGAGGAAAGCAGACAGGGACCAAGCACACAGGGCATACTATAAAATTTAGATTTGAATGTAGGTGCAAAGAGGAGTAATGGATGCATTTGAAGCTGCAGAGAGACATAAACTGTCTTCAGTGAAAGTCTTCCTCTAAGTTGTATGGAGAGCAGATGGAGGGGACTGGGATGGAAACAGGGACTACCTGAAATGCAGGGTGAACTTCCTTTCAGCAGATTTAGGACTCGAAGGCAGGAGAGTTGAGTGCATGTTCACTAAATCCAACACAAAGTTTTTAAACACGGATCTATTTGCCCAAAGGAAACACTTGGTGCCTCCAGGCCTTTCTCATACTTCTGGCTATGAAATTTTGGACAATTTACATCACCTCGTAGACTTGGGTGTCTTCATCTGTAAAAGCAGTTTAGCTGAATCTCTCAGAGTATCCAGTAAGCGTTACACTCCTTCGTTTCTTGGAAAGGAAAATGACTCATTTGCTGGAAATAGACCAGGTAGCTCCAGGCAGTTTGCTGGGCACAGCCACAGCCAAGCTTGGGTGGGGCCTGAACTGCTGGGGTGGGTACCTGATTATTCAGTGCAAAGTCTCAGGTCCCATGCTGCTGCAGAGCTTCAGCTCAGGAATGTGGCTTAGGTGGGACCCGCTAGTGTTGGAAACAGCAGAGAGAAAACCAGGAGACTCTGGGAGAAATAGTACAGGTAAATATTTAAATGATTGTAGGGTGGAGAAACACTGCTAAATTGGAAAGTAAAGGCAGAAAGCATAAAGACAAAAATGGATAGATTTTTTTTTCAAGAAACGAGTAAGATTATCCTACAAATCAAAAATAAAATCGTAAGTAAACTAATTAAAAAATGGGCAAAACACATGAACAGGCATTTCAAGAAAAGCATAAATAGTCAAACCTTTGGTAAGATGTTGAACAATATTGATGATCAGAAAAATACAAATCAAGACAACTATATTCTATAATATTATATAAATTCAATTGACCAAAGTTGAACATTTAAAATACTAAGTTTGGAAAGGGATTTAGATCTATGGCTCTCTTATCCACTTCTGGTGAAATATAACATAGCGTTACCACTTGGAAAATTATCAATATTTTTAATAATGATTTATAATAACAAATATTTATATATTTTATGGTCTAACATTTCCACTTATAGGTGTAATTATACATGTATATCAGAACACACAGCCAAGAATATTCATAGCTACACTTCTCATATTAACGAAAACCTAGAAACCACTCAAATATTCATTGATGAGAAAGTGGATCCATAAAAAATATCATATTTATACAATGGAATCACATGCAGAACAAATTGCAAAACATTCATGAGCATAATGATATGACATGCAACCATGTAGGTACATTTTTTTTCAAAATGATATTAAATGGAGAAAGTACCAAAAGATCACCAAATCTTTTAGGAGAAGGAAAAAATTGTTCATTTTGAAATGGGAGGTAGTCACATAGATGTTTACATAAGTAAATATTTTCCACTAAAAAGTCATTGAACTGTATATTTAATACTTTTCATACTTTATTGTATGCATATTATAAATTAATAATAATTGTCTAAAAAAGGAATATGTACCCATTTTATGAAATGACAAATCTAGTTTTTAATATCATGACTCCACTTTTATTTAATAAAATTAAATAAAAAGGAATTCATGATGATGGTGACACCTGAGTCTAAACATGAAGATACATCGAACAAACACCACTTGATGGGCATTCTACAAAAAAACTCAAACTTTTCATAAATGTCAAAGTCATAAAAACTCCAAGAAAAGCAACTAAACTTCTAGAGTAAAGACAACTAAAAGACATGGCAACTAATACGGTAAGTGACACAGAATTCAATCTTGGCCCTCCAAGACTCCCCCACTTGCCAGTACACCAGCATAATAAAGGATTGCCACTAAATCCGGTGTCTTTTGCTATGTAGCAATAGATGACTGGAATAGTGAGTGTTCTTTCTTAAGTGATAAAGAAAAGGAAGATAAGAGACAGGGAGGGAACAAGGAAGAAATATTTGCATAATACAAACCAGTCATAGAAAGACAAGTAACATATGATTTCATTTGTATGTGGAAACTGATGAACAAAAGAAGCTAACAAACAAAAAAGCAACAGACTTGTAGATTCAGAGGACAGACTGACAGCTGTCTGAGGGGAGGAGGAGGTAACTGGGTGAAAAAGATGAAGGGATTAAGAAGAAAAAAAACAGCCAGAACCAGTTTGGCTCAGTGGATAGAGCATTGGCCTGCAGACTGAAAAGTCCCCAGTTCAATTCCGGACTAGGCCATGTACCTTGGTTGCAGGCATATCCCCAGTAAGGGGTGTGCAAGAGGCAGCTGATCGATGATTCTCTCTCATTGATGTTTCTAACTCTCTATCCCTTTCTCTTCCTCTGTGGAAAAATCAATAAAATATATATATTTTTTTAAAAAGAAAGAAAAAAAAAAAAACACCTCATAGACAGATAGCATGATGGTGACTGACAAAGAGAAAGGAGTTGAGGGGAGGTAGGAGTGGGTAAAGGGAGGATAAATGGTGATAGAAGGAGACTTGACTTGGGGTAGTGAATACACAATACAATACAGAGGATGTATTGACCAAATGCACCCTTACTCCTGGGCCACTGAGACCCAACTGTGCAGAGAGGAGCCCAGTTTTAGCTCTGCAGCCAGTTGTCTCCAAACTGCTCTCCTTGTTCTCAGCAATATCAGATGCTAAAAAAGACTGAAGATCCTGGTGCAATGCTATGCTTGCCCAGGCAACTGTAAGGGTAATGTCTACAGCAGAGAGGCAGAAGTTTTACTTACATACTATCCTGTGTATTTATCCTGTCAATCAAAGGCATTTTCAAACGTGCCATTTTAACCCCAAGAATGTTTCAGCCCTTTTGGGATGTTAATCACCATGTTACTGAATGGTGACGGTGATGTAGGGGCAGCCAAGCTCCTTTGAGCAACATAAATCCCATAGCCTCTACCTCCAGGTAAGTTAGACCTGGTGACCTGCTACCAGGAGCATTAAACAGAGGAAACTGAACCCTTGTCCTGAAATGACATTCTTATGCTAGATGATCATCTGAATGGTGGCTTCCTTCTTGATTTGTGACTAATTCCTAATAAAATATATTCTCCTTCCAGAGGCTCTAACTGCTGGAATAGCAAATGGAACCTAAGAGTCCACCTGGTCCATACACTAGATTCTAAGTTGAGAAATCAATGTGTGTTCCAGCACACCTTATCTTCTTCTATTCCAGATAGAATCATTGAAATTCTCATACCTTCAAGATGTTGAGATAACTTATAATGCAAAGAAGACCTTGTCACTATGCTCTTCTTCAGCATGGTGCAATCCAGATTCTTCCATCGTGAGCAGCTCTCCCATTGACATTCATTAGATCAGAAGATCTTGGAGCTGAGTTCCATGAACCAGCACTCACTTCACTTTTGAAATGTACCGTTTTAAAATGTAAGTCTCCTTCAGTGGCTAAGCAAATCCATGTTAATTTGAATAAGTCCCTGAAGGTTTTGGACTGTGTTGCACATCTATTTTTGTCACTAGTGTTCTGTTGTCATAAGCAGTTAAGCATTTGAAAGAGGAAAGCATAAGAGGAAAGTACTGCCCCATCCACTTTTCCCCCATCATTCATCCATCCATCCATCCCTCCATCCACTCATTTGAATCAATCCCTCATTGATTCAAATAAGTTTATGGGTTAAGTGTAGAGATTTATGAATCTGAAAATATGGCAATTAAAATACAACTTTAGCCAAAACCGGTTTGGCTCAATGGATAGAGCATCGGCGTGGGGACTGAAAGGTCCCGGGTTCGATTCCGGTCAAGGGCATGTACCTTGGTTGCACAGTAGGGGGTGTGCAAGAGGCAGCTGATCGATGACTCTCTCAATGATGTTTCTAACTCTCTATCTCTCTCCCTTCCTCTCTGTACAAAATCAATAAAAATATATTTAAAAAAATAAAAATAAATAAAAAATAAAATAAAATACAACTTTACCACTTTTTTAACTTTATGAACTTAACAAATTATTTGCTTTTCTAAGCCTTAGTTCACTTTTTATACAACTGAGATAAAAATATCTACTCATAAGATTATTGCAAGGATTAAAAACAACATGTCTAATGTGCCTGTGCTTAATAAATGTTATTCTATTTGAATAATTGAGTGTCTTATGTATGCTTGGCTCTGTGCTAGGTTACAAAGCCTCAGAGTTTCTCAAGTTGACCAATAACTACCAAATGGTGGTTATTGTAAGGAATAAATCAAGCAGTCCCTCTAAAGTGCCTAGAATAGAACCTGGAATGTAGCTATTACTAAGTAAGAGTTTATGTTGGAGGAAGAGGATGACAAGATGAAGACAATGGCAATACAGATAATGAGGCTATTCTCAGGAACAATTCATAGTTGCCTCTCTCTGAAAATGAGTCCAGATAAACCCTTTGCAAAGCCTTAAAAATTCATATGAAGCAGTCTGTCCAGCTTCTGTGAACTGAGCAATGCCAAAGGCTTACGGGAAACAAAATCCATGATGAGAGACCTGACCCGACTTCCATGGAGAGCAAAGTGATAGGAGGTTGGACAGATTATTGATGGACCACCAGTGGGGAATACCCACCCTCTGTATGATGACCAACAAAGCCTAGTCCTCTCTGAATATGAGCCCTCTGTGTGAAAAGGCAAAAACCTGACTTACTAGTAACACAGCAAGACTGGATTAGATAAAGCACTTTGGACTCCTTGGAGAGTGGCTGTCTACAAATAGCATGTGGTGGTATTATTGTTAATCAGCCAACCTCTCATTGAAGTTAACTGCTACTAAGACCAATAGGACATCTACCTGGATATGGTCTGCGAATCAGGCTTTATAGCAGCTATTCATTATTTATTCATCATTAGATTGGTAGCCAAGCAAGAAATGTATTCCCTAAAGAACAGTGGCATTAATTGTCTTCAGGAAGGTCCAAAAGGAAAAAAAACATGTTACCTACTTTTCTGGTCTTAAAAACTTGAGTTCCAATCCATCTTCACCTGCAATTGCGAACATGATAATAAGGTAATTTTCTGAGCTCAGTTTCCTCATCTATAAAAGAGAATTAAATGTTCTTACCTCAGACAGGGATTGCAAAGATGAAATGAGGTCATGAATGCTCAGTCTCAAACCTATTGTAGGCATGGGACAACTGTGGTGCCTTATATGTCCCACTTCAAATGTTAAGGGCTTGACATTTATCACCTAAAACTTCTAAGCTGTCTTGTTTATACCATCCTTTTTCTTATCAAGTATGGCCTTTTGTAACCAAGGAAATGAGCCCAGCTTTCAGGCCAATGAAAGAACAGGAGATATCTCAAGAGAAATCCAAGAATGTACATTTGTCTGTGTGCTTTACTCTTCTTTGAATAAGGTTGAATATCTCCTCTCTAATTCTCTATCCAAGAATGATTCCAATCAATGAGAAACATTGGATCCAATAGCTGACTTTTCTGCAGCCTGAAGTCTAACCAGTAGGTGCCTTTCCCACCTTCTCCTTGTTTGCTGACAATTGAAGGAGAAATTTACTCATATGCTTTGATTGACCAATGAATG